CCAGATGTAGCGACAGTGAGCGCGAGTGTAGACCGCAAATAGCCTATTAGCTGACGCGTGTAACTGGTCGGCGACTCTCTCTGGCAAAAACGTGTTATTACGAGCTGCGGAGGGGTCCACCTCGCCTTCTCTGTCGCCCTCCTGGCCCAGGCTCATCAGTAGCAAGCCTTAGCCGTCCCAGACTGCACTTACCTTGGGTCTGCAAGCTCACACCGGCTCGTGATGGCACGCAGAGGGCTCGAGATTGTCTCCGGTGGACCCCATCCGAGGCGATTGCGAGGGCATTCCGGAGGTCATTATCGGCGCCACCGACCGTGAAATGTCCCGACCCGCAGCCCTCATGCACCAGGCGCATCGATGCAGTCATAATATGTAGGCCTTGTCTCCCGAAGTTTTGAGCAATAGCCGCAAACAACGCTTTTTGGCAGTTGCATCGCGACACGGTCACACGCGGACGCTCCAGCCTCTCAGCGCACCACCTCGCCTTCTCTGTCGCCCTCCTGGCCCAGGCCCGTCAGTAGCACGCCTGAGCCATCCCAGACCGCACTTACCTTGGGTCTGCAAGCTCACACCGGCTCGTGATGCCACGGAGAGGGCTCGAGATTGTCTCCGGTGGACCCCATCCGAGGCGATTGCGAGGGCTTTACGGAGGCCATCACCGGCGCCACCGACCGTGAAATGTCCCGACCCGCAGCCCTCATGCACCAGGCGCATCGATGCAGTCATAATATGTAGGCCTTGTCTCCCGAAGTTTCGAGCAACAGCCGCAAAAGGTGCTTTTCGGCAGTTCATCGCGACACGTCCAGGTGCCGACAAAGTGGCTTCCCAGCTCACCACCTCGCCTTCTCTGTCGCTCACCTGGCCCAGTCCCATCAGTATCAAGTCTGAGCTGTCCCAAACCGTCCTTACCTTGGGTGATGCAGCCCACTTTGGCTCATACCACGGCTCTTACGGCCTCATACACGCCCGTTTCACCCACAGACACCGCCGGCACGCACTCCCACTTCACACATGCTCAAGCACAACCCCACCAAAGCACAGCCCTGCTCAGAGTAGTCGTGAACCACCCTTTGGCAGCCGTGGAAGCCCCACAGCCGCTGCTTCTCTCGGCTCCTCTCAATGCGTGTCGTGCACCACCCCACGACAGCCCACCGAAAGAGCACTGGTGCTCTCCGCATGCGCCACCGATGTGATTGTGCAACGTCAGCCACCTCGCCGGAGGTAGTTGCGACTGGGGACACCGGAAGCTCGACGCTCGAGCACGTGTGGCAAAGTTTTGCGACATCCTGCGACTCGACCCCCGAGGGCTGCCGGCCGCCGACAGCAATACCGAGACCGGATTGCGCAGCGAGTTCGGTCCGAATGTGCCCAGGGCCAGCCCGTGGACCGGTACGGACGGCAGGTACCCATGGGACCGCTGCGGCGGGCCTGGGAGGCGCCACGAGTCCCAATGACGCACGGTCGGCGCAAATCCCCAAGCTGGAAATAGGCCTTTAATGTCTTGGAGCCCGGCGATCGCTCTATCCAGTCACGGCACAAGGAACAGCCAAGGACCAAGAGGGACCTGAAATGTGGCTCGACGATTCGCGGCCGTCTGGGTGCGCTCACCTCTCGTGTGCTCTTCAGCGGGCCATGCTTAGAGCGTGGTTGATCACGGAGATGGGCGGGGTACGGCTTTAGCGCCAGCCGGGAGAGCGAGATGAGTGTAGGTTGAACGGCGAGCATCATGTCTGCCCTCTCTCTCTATGACGCGCGAGTGCATGCATGAGGTGGCGGGAAGTATGGACCGGTATAGCATCTGCGGTATTGAGCCATAAGCGGGCGACGAGGCGCAGTGCGTGCGGTGTGCGGTGTGCGGTGTGGCTTATTCGCCCGCCTCCTCGCCCCGCAGGACCTGCTCCGCCCACGTCGACGTCGCTCACGAGCAGGCTGGCTGCATCAAATGGCAGCTGCCTGCCGACGCGTGGACCAAGCTCGCCCGGCTATCGTACCAGAGTTGCGGCTCGCTCTTCCTGCTCGCGGAGGACGCTCCTGAGCGCCGGACGACGGGATGCACGCTGGAGGAATCGCGCTCGCGGCGCGACTCGGGCTGCTGCGGCCCGCTCAAGCCGCCGGCGACAACGACGCCGTGGTCGTGCATGGCGCAGGTGGCCAAGGCATGGCGCGCCGTGCGACGTTCCGCGTCGGTGGCGGCCCACCGGACTCGCCCCAAGGGCGGTTGCCGCAGTGTAACCTTCTCCGAATGGGAGGCGAGCATCGGGGACGAGGACGACTTCTCCCTTCTGGACGGAGGAGAGAACCCCGAGGGGGAGCAGGAGGGGCAGGGCAGCCCAAGCCCGTCTCCGCAGACGAACACCATCGTCGTCCCGCTCAGCCAGGTGTCGTCCGCGTGCTCGCAAGCGCAGACGGCCGAGAGCGCGGGCGAGCCCTGCTGACCGTGGGCGCTCCCGGCAGAGCCCCGTGGCGGCGGCGGGCGGGAACTTAGGTCATTTATTGGAGGGAGGAACTTCGATGTGGGTCCATGTAACGTGAAGAAGATCAGCGCTGCATGTTGGAGGCATGTGATGTGTGTGGAGACGTGTGGAGAGAGAAGGCAATGCGGCCAAAAGCTAGGATATCAGCCTCGAGAACCTCGAGATACGTGTACGTGTCACATGCACGCAACGCACGTGTCGTGCCCGGTGCTTCGGAGAGCGGCTTTTGTTCTTCTTTGCTTTGTTTTTGTATCTTTGGTTCTTTGCCCTCTCCTTTTCACATACACACTAATCGCGTTGTGTAGAAAGAAAGTACATGGGGATCACCCAAGCTAAAAAAGAAAAGAAACAAAACATAAAGCCCAAAGGAGGGATGGGAGGACGGCACGCCGCCACCACACAGGGATTTCACGATCCCAAGCTAGGGCTGGGGGGGAGGACCTTGGAGCACTTGGAGTGCAGTCATTAACCTCACATCCAGGGTCGGGGAGCTAAGGAGCGCACCCAGCGGGCCAGATGATTGGCATCGGGTTGCGGGCTAGAGAGCCCTAGCCCTGTGGGGGGTGCGCGTTCGCAGGGAAAGGGCCGTAAAGTAAACACGGGTCTCCGAGGGTTAGTTCCGTGTACCGGGTTTCCCCTTAACTGCAGAACGCCCCCTCTACTCGGAGCTAACACGGACCCACACCACCGTACTCCACGCACGTACACGGATACACCTCATGTGTGTTCGCCCGGCCTCACTCCCAGAGTCCCGTCCTCCGCCCACCGGGGCGAGCCATCGGCTCGGTCCCGGCACGTGTGGCAGCCCCCGCGCGCCCGTCTCGCCTTCCTCACTCCGGCTCCCGCCCTCAGTCTCGCCAGCGTGCACACACCCCGGAGCGGAGGGTGCATGCACATCTCACAGGTCCGCGCCACATTCTGGTAGCACTGTCCACTGACAGGCACGTACAAGGGTCCACATTTACACGGTGGACCCCTAGACTGTGCACACTGCTCCCACACGTTCAGTAACCACTTCCTACTTGTGTGGGCCCGGTTTCCCGGGAGCTAGCCCATGTCTCAAGCGGCGCGCATGCATCCAGATCAGCGAGGTCAATCGCGATCTGCGTGCGCCCGCCCACCGGCATCTGGTCGTTACAGGTTTTGCGCAGTTGCGCGTCGAAGTGGCTCCACGCACTGGTGGAGCGCCTCCAGCGTGCTGCCCTATCCACTCTAGTGGATCAGCCGCGCAGCTTCCCTCGGCATAGCCAGCGTGGAATGGCCGCTTTATTTCCGCGCCGGGGTAAGCCGACTCTAACCGGCCTCGCGCCGTGGACAAAATGCCTGCTGGCGCGGCCAAGATGTGGCTGCAAGACATGTGGCGCCGGCGCGGGCTGCTCGACGAGGGTGGTGACATCGACGCCGCCGTCCAGCGCCAGTGCCAGCAGTCGTGGTTCTTGCGGCGCAATGCCAGCACGCCCAACGGACCGAGGACGTCCTCGCCAGAGACCTCATGGTTTCTGCGGAGAAACCAGGTCGCGCTCCCGCCCGCGCCGAGGGCTGGGCGGAACGTCACGCCGGCGGCGCTTCGGCAGCGCACGAGCGGCTACTTCCTCAACTCGAGGGGCCACGTCGTCGTTGAGGGCCGCGCCTCGCCCTCGAAGACGCGAGGCCTTCGCACCGCACCCGTGGAGAAGAGCACACTATCGGGTCCTGCCACGCCGCTGCGCCGTTCGGCCTCGTGGCTGAGCGGGCGGGTGCCAGAGGGGCGGCCCGCCGCGCCGTCTCCTGTTCCCTGCGGGCTGCCTCCCGCGCACAGCGACGGCGGCGTGACGGCGCTGCTGCCGGCGTGGCGGGAGGAGGAGGCGGGCGCGGCCTTCTTGACCGTGTACGATCTCTGCCCGTGCTGGAACAGCTGCTGCGGCCACCCGATGGGGGTCGGCGTCTACCACTCGGGCCTCGAGATTGACGGCCTCGAGTACACCTACGACCGGCAGCCAGGCAGACGGTGTATGGCGAGGGCGAGGGCGGCTGCACCGTGACGGCTCCTCACCCTCGTTCTGGCGCAGTTAGGCGGCGGGCACCTCGGCGATCCGTCGTACGCCGGCTGCGACGCGAGCTGCGGCGTCGACGAGAGCGGCGGCGGCGGCGTTGCGGAGGTGACTGTGCCGTTTGCCTCGAGAAAGGTGACGCGGGCAGCCAGCACCGCTTGGCGGTCACGCGAGCTGGAGTGGGATTGCGGCGTGGCGTGGCACCCGCCGTACCACACCGACCGGTCGATGGCAGCTTCGCTGCCGCTTCGCGCCCGGTTGCCCCTCGGCGTGAGCAAGCGGGAGCTGCACGACTCGCACCAGGCCTTGCGCGCGCTCGCGACCCTCGAGTGGACGATGGACGACTACGAGATCACGGAGCACAACTGTCACCACTGGGTCGCGGCCGCGTGCGCCGAGCTCGGGCTGGAGCCGCCGCCTCGCTGGCTCAACCGCGCCGCCAACATCCTCGGCTTCTTTGCCGGTCCGCGGCGCGCCGGCAAAGCCGCTCCCTCTGCGCGGTCGGGCTCAGGACGAACTTCGACTGTAGGTGCGAACGAGTCGGGGCAGCACGCGCCGCCCAACAACCACCGCTCGCCGCGAGTCGACGCCACCGACGATCGGCCCGCGTCGTGGCCGTCAGCGACGGCAAATTGCGGCGGGCGGCGACACAGCGGCGGCGGCGAGTCTCAGCCGTTGCTTGGCCGCGCTGCATCGGTCTCGGAGCACGAGTGGGAAGTATAGCGAGCTAGGCGCCGCAGTTTTTGGCTAATCTCGCACGTACGTCACTCAAACATGCGCCGATAATCGCGCTCAAGAGTGAAAAAAAAGAGTCCTGTGCTACTCTGTGCACAACACCAACAGCGAAAACAGGCCTTACCGCGCAACAGGCGCCGCGGGGGGCATCGGCAACCCCACAAACAAAGTACCAAATCGGGCGAGAGGGGTATGTTTGACCATTTGAGCGCGCAGGCCGCGCAACGCGCGCACATGGCCACGCAACGCGCGCAGTACGCTCTCGATCCGCCTCCCAACCGAACCCGGCATCGCACAACACACACATCATAAATCGTACTGTATCATGCATGCATGCACTGTAGTGTCGAGCTTACTCAAGGGCACCATCCGTCGAGCCACTCAAGGCTTCTTGATGCACCAAACGGCGCTCGTGACGCCATCGCCGACTGTTCGTACCCCTCGGCCGTGCAGACAATGTCCTCGATAGACGTCAGGGTCACTTTGGGGCTTCCGCATTTCATCTGCGTCGTCGGTTTGTACTGCCACATATTCCCACCGTGGCAGCAGGGCTCCCCCTGCACGGGGAGGTGGGGGGGACTGGTCCCGGACGCCTGTCCAGGATGCCGGAGCCGGTGGGTCTGTGCGAGCGCTCACCCGGTGCAAGCACGTCACTGTAGCGGTTTCGTGCGGCGGTGGGTCGAGCACGAAGCAGAAGCCGCCCGACGAGGCGGGCTCTTGCAGGTCCAGCTGAATCGTGATCCTGTGACGGAGAAGGATATTAGCGCGCGAGGGGCGGCGTGTCTTTTAGTGATTGCGCGCCGCTTCAGTTCGCCCCGTTCTCGTTTGTCGCCAGCAGGATAGCGGTCGCGGTGCCATGAAGCAATCACGTCAATCGCACCGTCGAGCTTGCCATCCAAATACTCGCCCAGCTTGCCGTCGAAGGACGTGTCGAACAGCTGGCGGTTTCCCCTAGCCCGCGATGATAGGACGAGCAGGGTTCCAGCGGCGAGGAGAACAATTACCGCTCTTGGGCGCAAAGAGCGCAACGGCGTCGCCTCTGGCGGCGCTATCATACTCGGCGGTCGTGTCGCTGCTTTACATCTTTTACGGAAGGCGGCAAAGCGGAAAACAGGATGCGGGCACGCCGCCGTTTCTGGTTTCTTAACTCCCAAGCAATGTAGGTCTCAGAGCCGGCCCCGGATAGTCGGAAGAGGTGAGCTGCGGTCCCGGATCCGATGCCGCCAGCCAGTCAGTCTGCCACCGACTCAAGACGCACACGCCTCCATCCACACCGCTCACTCAGAATACCGCAGACTTGCAAAATGCCAAGTGCGCGCGCCGCGCAGGCGAAGAGAAATTTTGACGAGCTGGGAGCTCCCGTGGTCACACTCGTGTCTGGCCTTTTCTCGGACGGAGCCGCGCCTGCGGCGCGCCGTGGTTTGTTAGATTTTTGCAGAAATCGCTCGGCGTGGTTTCTTAATGCGACGCTTTCTTAATGCCCGCAACCCACTGTAAGTTCGCAAAGGAGGTCTCAGGACCAGTGAGGTAGTGCATCTGACTATCCCGGACCCCGCTGAAACGAGTTCCTGTGTTCCTCTTGGTGTAGCTCATCGGTCACACCGCCACCACCGCCGACGTCTCCCAGTGAGATGATGGAGAGGGGGGACGACACTGCTTCGGTAGCGTGCACCTCGATCCTCTACGACTACGTGTTATGACATACATACATGAGCTCGTGTTGAGCGATTTCCGCAAAAATCTAAGAAACCACGGCGCGCCGCAGCAGGCGCGGCCCCGAGAAAAGGCCGGACACGAATGTGAATGGGAGCCCCAGCTCAAAATTTCTCTTCGCCTGCGGCGCGCGCACTTGTCACTTTCCAAGTCTGCGGTGTTCTGAGTGGAGTGGATGGAGGCGTGTGTGCGTCTTCGTCATCCAGAGAGCCGACTCGGCGGCAGACTCTGGCATCGCCCTCGCGGACCGCAGCTTACCTCTTACCTAAAACTCCTTCGGGCCGGCTCTGGCTTGAGAGAGAATTTGAGAGAGAGATTTTTATTAACCAACAAGAAATCACGACTCTCACAGTGATTTGGGCTCGGCAGCTTGTTAGCCCTCAGCCGAAGCTGGGGCCGGTCCCGTAGCCGAGAGAGCCCGCGCCGATGAGTTCGACGCGGTCGGGGGGGCCTGCCGAGAGGCCAGCGAGGTGGCGATCGCTGTACTTCATGGCGCCCTCAAAGTGGGGCTGGCTGACAAGCCAGAGGTCGATACTCTGGACGACCCATAGGATTTTAGAAAACCAACAAGAAATGGCTTGAGTGCCGGCCGGAGCTAAGAAACCACGGCGAGGGGTGGATGAGGGCTGTAGAAAGGCTTAGAAACGGCGGCGTGCCGCGGAATCCTGTTTTCTTAATGCCCGCAACCCACTGTAGTGTGGGTCACACACACACACACACACACTCACTGTGGGTCTTGACATTGGCGTTCGGAGCTCGAAAAGAAAAGTACTCCCCCGATTGCTGGCACGCAGTCGTATCGCGAGCATATCGCGTGCAAAAGCTCGAAGCTGCTCGGCTCGAAGCTGCTCGGCTCGAAGCTGCTCGGCTCGAAGCTCTGGCTCGAATCTCGGCGTCGAAACATGATGCTCGCTCTACAGCAGCGCCTCCTCCCAAACGTCGACGACGAGGTGCTTGCTGGCGTCGCCGCAGCGGAAGCTGCAGCGGCAGGTGCAGTCCGTGAGGCAGCAGCGGCAGCAGTGGCAGCAGACGCACCGGACAAAATGCCGGCGGCGGCTGCCGTCACGCTGTGCACATGCCCTCCTGACTGGGCGATGTGCGGCCGTGTGTGCGCTGCCAACCTCCGCGGGGCCTCTGAATGCGTTGGCGATTTTGTGGCAAATGCCTTGATCTACGTCGTGTCGAAGCTTTGGTCGGACACGATCGCCATCTACTGCTTCAGTCTGATGGCGCCGTGGTTCTGCGGGCTGGGGTACGACGACATCGAGTGCACGCCTCCGGCCTCCTCCTCGTCATGGGCCCTCTACACGCTCGTGTTGCTGCCGCTGACAGGGCTGTGCAAGCACCTGGCCGAGCTCAGGATGGAGCGGGCCGAGCAGGTCGGCGGCAGGAAGGGTGCGCGATCCGGTCTCTGGCTCCCGCTCGTGCCGAGCATAATGAACTACGTGGTGGGATGGGCGGCGGGCAACACCGCCCTCTTCAAGCTCGCGGAGGTGCGGGCCGCGTCGGGCTGCGAGGTGGAGGAGGCGGGCGGGTGCACCGCACTCAACCTCGGCTTCTCGGGCGGATGCACGGTCGCGGCCGCGCTCTTCATCACGCTGCTCAAGCCGTTCGTCGCCGAGGTCGAGTGGGGGAGCGGGCCGCTGATCGACTGGGTGGAGGACTGGGTGGAGGACGTGCTGGCGATGCTGTCTCGAGGGCTCACCGTGGTCGTCATGATGCTGTGGTACCACGCGGCCAACGACTATCTTTTCCTCGGCGTGGCGGCCGGCTCGTACGGGCACATCTCCTTCATCTCGGCCGGCTTCCTCACCTTCGCCGGCGCGCTCCTCTCGGTGCGGCTCGAGGAGCTCGAGAAGCAGATCGACGCCCACCTCGGGCCGGCCGGCGCGGTGGCGATCGAGCTCTCCAACCTGGTGCAGAGCGTGCTCGCCTACGTGACCGGCTGCGCGTGCAGCGACTGGGTCACCTTTGCCTTCCCCAGCCTCAGCGCCCCGCCCGCTTCTGCGGGCGTGATCGTCGCGAACGTGGCGCTGTGCGCGGCGCTGGTGCTGCTGTGCGTCGCCTGGCTGGTTGCGACGGGCGAGTCGGGCCAGCTCGACACGAGCATGCAGACGGACCGCGAGGCGATGGAGCGCTTCTTCCTCACCAACTCGATGGCCTTCTTCGTCGGCTGGAACCTGTTTGTGGTGAGCCAGAACCTGATCATCCCCGTCGGCGTCGCCGCGAACGACCTGCTGAGCGACACCGGCCTGAGCGAGCGCCGCGCCGACCTGGGCGAACGGGTCGTCGTGCTTGCGTGCGTGCCGCTCTTTAGCGTCACTGCCTTCGGGGGCGCGTTCGCCCTCATCGACGTGTACAAACGGCGAGCCGGCATCTCCAAGAGCACCGTCGTGCTGGATGCTCCGACGGACGACACGTTCAAGGCCCCGGGAATGCCAGGGGTGTGACGCCGCGTTGCGACCAGCGACGACGGCATTGACAAAGTAGCATGTCCCCGACTCGGCACGATCATAGCCCCTCATGAGATCACAGACCATGGAGAGCATGCGCCCCATCGTTGTGCATGCCAAGGTCAAGCCCCTTTGTTGAAGGATGAAGGGATGAAGGCTTCGTACATGCTACATCGTTAGAGTCTCTGATAGAACGCTGACTAAGTCCGCAGGGCTGGTCAGGAGCGATTTCATTCATGAATGTAGGCGAGAGTCAGAGTGCCATGCACGACGAATTTTTTGTTGGGACTATCTCTAAGGCGAAGTGCATGTTAACTCATTTACGCCTAACGCCTATCGCGATGTGCAATATTTCGAATAATATTTGTTTAACTCTTTCGACGAGCGGACAAGCGGAGCTGGACACGCGTTCGGCGAGAGGGCCCCCCGCTGCGGCCTGCGCTCGCCGTACGCCCCCACGCCCCAGACGGCGGGCCCGGGGAGCCCGGTCGATGCCCAGTGCGCAGTGGGGCAGTGGCCAGTGGCAGTGCCAGAGCTCCAGAGCTCGTAAAATCTCACGTACACTCGCACGTTAGTGTAAGCACATATATTGGTGGGGCTGGTGCGCTAGTCGTGCTCCCGTCCCCATCTCATCTCTCGCCTTTATTTTGTATTGAACGATCACGCGTCCCACCCCTCGCGACCGTCGTTCGCCGCTGCCCCCCGGGCCCCTGCTCCGTCCTCGCCCTCCCAGACGACGACCGCCTCCTCGCGCGGGTGCCGAAGCCACCACCAGTTCTCGCGCGGGTGCGACACCACCCGGAGCCCACGCTCGTGCGCGAAGTCGGCCACAGCGAGCTGCACGTCGGCCCAGCACCAGTCGTCACCGCAGAGCAGTGCGTCGGGGAAGAGGCGCGCGCTCGCCCGCAAGTCTGCGAGCACCGCGGCATAGGTGTGGTCGGCGTCGACATAGATAAGATCGACGGGAGCTCCTAGCCGCGCGATCGCCGCCAGCCCGTCGCCAGTGGGCATGCGCAGCGGGAATACGCGCGTGCGGTGCGGCCACAGGTTGTGTAGGAAGGCCGCGTGCAGCTCGCCGGCCTGGAGGATGGCCATCGCCTGCGCGTCGCAGGTGTACTGCTCACGCTGTGACGGTGTCGCCAAGAGGTGCGGCGCGTCCCACAGGTCCACGGCGAAAACAGCGAGGCGTGGAGCCGCCTCGCAGAGAAGCGTTGTGCATAGTCCGCACCACGAGCCCAGCTCCACCACGCAGCGAGGCTGCCGCTCCTCGAGGAGGCGCCGCAGCATCCGCTCGTTGCCTCGGTGGACCCAGCCGTGGATGAGGTCGAGCGGCGGCGGCGGCGGTGGAGCCTCCGGCCACAGCTGCAGCCGCGCCACCTCGAGACGCCAGGATCGGCAGCGGTGGCCTCCTCTGGTCTTGGAGGAACCGGCGGCATACGCGTCTGAGCTATCGAGATGCGACATGCGTTGCTCTGGACTACCACTGTCGACTGCCACTGTACCACAGCACACGACTGACTGCCACTGCGACCAGACAGCGCAAGGCGCCAGAGCCAGAACCGATCAACCGGACCCTCCTCCCACCTGCTACCCTGGTACCGCGAAGTGCCGAACTTAAGGTAAGGTAGCTTGAGTTAGGTTAGGTGCTTTGCACTGAGTTAGGCACGGGGTAGCAGCAGTTAGGCACGGGGTAGCAGCATGGCGGTCGCCATTGATTTCTTTTTTGGTCCGAACGGGCTGATGGTGCAGCGCGCCGGCGCCGACTCGGACGACGAGGGTGCGGCGAGTGAGGAGGAGGAGGAGGAGGAGGGGGAGGAGGAGGAGGAGGAGGAGGAGTAGGAATCTAGTAGCGTAGGCACTCGTACTCGAGTGTAGGTGCTCGTAGCGTAGGACGTAGGAGGGAGATGCCTCAGTGAGCGATTCTAAGATCAGGCCTGCCACTGGGCGGAAATCGGCCGTCCCTCCGTGCTTCCAGCCTGCCCGCTTCAGTTTCCTCAATTGGCTGAATTTTGCTTAGTAGAAAAAGAATAGCGCCGATGGCGGGCCGCCGGAGCGGGCATTTCGAAGTGGTCAGCGGGCATTTCGAAGTGGTGCGGCGGCAGGCTGCCACCGCTGCCCGGGCGCCCCGAGCGGCGGCGGAGGGCCGCCCAGGCCACCACCAGTGCCCCTCCCACCGGCGGCGCGGCGGCAGCGGCGCCGACCGCCCCTCCATCAGCGGTGGCGCGACGGCTGTCGTCGGGGCGCCGGCAAGAGCCACTTCGGGCTGAAGGAGCCGTAGCCGGCCCACGTCCCGTCCTTGAGCGACTCGTAGAATGCATCGAACCCGGTCGGCGCGAGGGAGCGCTGGTCGGCCTCGGACCCCTCGTCCCCCTCGTTGCGCAGCGCGCCGAGCTTGTCCAGGTACTCGCGCCGGATGAAGCAGCAGCCGCACGGCTTGGTGGCGTAGCCGTCGCCCTCGAGCACGGGCCGCCGCTCGTGCGTCTCCGGGTCCTGGTGGTAGGTCTGCCCCTGCGCGCAGTCCAGGAAGCGAGCCTTGCGGTTCACCACCACGTTGCCCGGCTCCTTCTTGGCGAGCTGGCTGAGCGCGAGGCCAATCGACCGCTGCTGGTAGGGGGCGCCTGGTGCGCGAGTCTTGTTGAGCACGGCCACGACGGAGGGGATGTTGATGCACACCCACGGCTCGGAGAAGCCATGGTTGGCGCGCTGCCACTCGTTCTGGAGACAGTTGTGCACATGGATCGTGACGTCAGACGACTTGCAGAGGTCATGGTTGCCTGAGCATTCAAGTGTGCTTCGAGATTTATTCGAGATTTGAAACTTAGATTTCACTTTCCAGCGGGGAGGTGGCAGACCTGATCTTAGAATCGCTCCAGTGGGGCCCGCGGGGCCCGTGTGCCGGTCCGGCGGGACCGAGAGGTGGGTAGCAGGAGTTAGGCACATTAGAACAGGAGTTTGGCAAGAGGAAAAGAGCTCCCTAACTCAAGCTACCTTACCTTAAGTTCGGCACTTCGCGGTAGTACCGAAGCGCGTTTTACTTTTCACTCCGGACAAAAAACGAGGGAGGAGTCGGTGCGGGGCGTGCCGCAAACTTAGCGGCGAGGCGCGGGACATGCACATGTGCATGCACATGTGCATACGGCACTCCAGCTGCTCCAATTCCTCCCAGCTATGCTGTAACTCCTACTAAACACTCCTTTCTTCATTCTCACTGCACTCCGCGAGCCCGCTATACTAGGGCGGCGCAAGGGCACGCATGGCAAGGGCGAAGCACAGCGGTGCGACCACGTTGTCGATCTCTGGCACCGGCAGGCTCTCTGCGGCTGCGGCGGCGACGCTCGCTGCGAGGAGCGGGAGGGCGAGGTCCGCGGCAGCGCTGCTGGACCAGCCCCAGTGGTGGAAGAGGCTCACCGCGCCCATCGAGCCGGCGAAGGCCGAGGCGGTGAAGGCGGCGGAGCCCGCCCACGACTTTTGCGGCGACCACGGAAGCTTGTGGCGGCGGCCGAATCGGCGGCCAATCACATCCGCCATCCCGTCGCCGGCGCAGAGGGCCATGAGCGCGCCGCCCGCGGTGGCGCTGCGGAAGCCGAGGACCGTCGCGGCGCAAAAGACGGCGCCGTACAGGAGTGGCCCGCGCAGCAGCTCACGCCGGTCTCCTGTACGGCTCATCAGCTTCACGTCAGCGTCCTGCTGGATGAGGCCGGCGCCAACCAGCGCGAACTTGGCGGTCATGCACGCGGGCACGGCGGCCGCCCACACAGCGCTCGAGGGCTGCTTACCAAACCATGGCCAGGTCAGGATGAAAACGGGCCCGGCCGCCATGTGCAGCAGTTTCCGCGTGAAGGTGGTGGGGTAGACGCCAGCCTTTGCGAGAACCTTGAGGCCCTCGACTAGCACCGCCATCGTCGCCGATGCGGCGAGGAACGCAACGCCGTCAGAGCGCAGCTCCAGCGCCATCATCGTCGGGCTGTCGGCACAAACGTGGAGTCGCTACGACTTGCGGTCGAAAGAATTCTTTTAGGGTCTACCAGCATCTCTCACAGCACTGGCACGACAAGATGAGCTCGATAAACTCGAGGGGCCAAAATATGCCGCGAGGAGGGCAGAGTTGCGCCGAAAGGCGGGAGAAGCCGCGAGAACAAGGGAGCGGCAAGCGGCGGCGGCGTCGCAGGACGAGGCAGACGAGAGCGACGCGACAGAGGAGGAAGCGACAGGAGGGAGAACGACGAGAGTGGGACGACCGCGAGGTGGCATGAAGGTTGCAGCGAGAATCGGCGAGAGACTGCGAAGGGAGATAGAAAGAGGCAGACGACCAAGGGTTAGGGTGGGCGACGGCTAGCACCACACTCCTCACCTCTCCTTAAAATCCCTGTGTGGTGGCGGCGTGCCGTCCTCCCATCCCTCCCTCGGGTTGTCTGTTTTCTTTCTTTCTTTCTGGCACGACAAGGGCGCGGACTGGCGCGGACTGGAAAAAGCCGGCCGGCGGTGGCGCTGGCGGCTGGGGCAACAAAATTTCCCGTTTTTACCTAACACTTGATTGAGCGACTCTTCCGTCCGCTATCCCCCGCAAACGCCAGATCCCATGGCCGACGTGCGGAACGAGGACGAGAAGCTTCGCGCCAGCCTGTGGGACTCCAACATTGCGTTCGGCAAGGACTGCCCGGACTTTAGCTCTCCCGATCTGCGCGCCGTCAAAAGTGGACTGCTGGATCGCGACTCTGCGCTCGCGGCGGCACGCCACATGCCCGAGTTTGTGGCGGGGTTGCCAAAGGCGGAGCTGCACCTGCACATCGAGGGCTCGCTCACGCCAGCGCGAGCGTACGCCATAGCGAAGCGCAACGGGCTTGATCTCGACGCCTTTGATCCAGAGAAGGGCGCTGCCGCACGCCGCGAGTTCACCTCACTCGTGCCGTTCCTCATCGAGTACGGAAAGTGCTCCGGCGTCATGCGGAAGGAGGCGGATTTCTACGACATGATGTACGATTATCTCGAGCGGGCCGCCGAGAATGGCGTCGTGCATGCAGAGATCTTTTTTGATCCGCAGACGCACTGCTACACAGACGTGTCGGGCGTCACCGCCGAGGGCTTCAACCCCGAAGGGAAGGCGGGGGGCAAATTCAATCCGAACGGAGTCGGCGAAAAGATCCTTGAGTTCAAGACGGTGATCACCGGCCTGACAAAGGCGCTTGAGGAGGGCCGCAAGACGCTGGGCGTCGACGGGAAGCTCATCCTCTGCTTCCTTCGCGACCGCTCAGTCGAGGAGGCGCTGCAGGTACTCGAGGACGCGAGGCCGTACATGGAAGTCAAGAGTCCCGTGTACACGCCCGATCTCCTTGGGGTGGGCATGGACAACGCGGAGCTCGGTTTCCGGCCTGGTCGCTTCAAGCCCGCGTACGACAAGGCGCGTCACGTAACGCCGCCTCGTCCCACCTTCGCGCCGCGCACCTCGCCTCACTTGTCAGGCGCGCGAGGCGGGGCTGCACTGCGTTGCGCACGCGGGCGAGGAGGGGGATGCGTCGTACATCACCGAAGCGCTCGACGACCTGAAGATCGAGCGCGTCGACCACGGCGTGCGGTGCCTCGAGGACCCGGCCGTCGTGGAGCGGCTCGTCAAGGCGCAGACGCCCTTGACTGTCTGCCCCTGCTCAAACCACCGGCTCCAAGTGTACCCGCGCTTCTTCTGCGGCGAGAACGCCGTGCGCCAGCTGCTCAGCCGGGGCGTCAAGGTGACGGTCAACTCAGACGACCCAGCCTACTTCTTCATGGGCAACGTCAGCGCTGCCGGCCGCGCCTGCGATGCGAGCGCATATGATGGGTTTCTTGCCTCCAACTATGTGCGGACCGTGCGCGACTGCGGCCTGTCGCCTGACGAGTGCGTCCAGCTCGCCCTCAACTCGTTCGACGCTTCCTTCATCAGCGAGGACGATAAGAAGGCGCACAAGGCCAAGGTTGCGGAATACTGCAAGGGCTGGCGACCGGCTTGCCCTCCGGCGGCATGAGCCATGACGGCGCGTGCGTGGCCGTCGGAGGGCAACGCGAGCGCACACGCTAGGGACGTAGAGGGGCCATGGATCAGAAGACTGGGTGTTGGTGGGGATTCGTACGGGGAAGAAAAGCACTCGGGGTTTTGGATGCCCGCGTGGACCGGGCAGAGAGGGCTCGCGCCGGGGAGAGCCGTTCGCGAGAGACCGAGCTACCGAGTCTGGGGTTGGCGGAAGAGTGACTCGGTGCCAGCTCGGTGCAGTTTCGCACGCGCCTGCGTGGATCGCGTTACATCAGAAGCCAAACGCGTGAACGGCGTCTCTAAAAAAAACAAGACCGCCGATAAGGACCTCTGTGTACCTACCGGCAGTCAGATTCCACTGCAAAATACACCCACACAGTACATGTATGGATACCGGCGACGATGGCGCCGCCGTGTTCGGCTGCATACCGACGCCGATCTCGCCGACTCGCGTGCGTTCGCTCGGTCTGGCGCGTGCCTGCGGCGCCCGTGGAGTCGATGCAAACTCCCTTCGCGCGGTGTGCACCGTGAGCCGCTCGGTTGAGCTGAACGACAGCCGCGCGCTGCAGACTTGGGCTTGGCGTCGGCGCTACATTATCCTGTGTGGTGGGACTCTCTTCATCTTTCGCGACCACGACGCTGTCGAGCCCGCCGAGGCGGTCGAGATGGTCTGTGTAAGCACGGGAGTCGCCGCCCGAGTGTCGCTCGAACCCTCCGACGACGGCATCTGCCTGCGGATCGATACTCCCGGCGAAGCCCGCACGCTCCTCCTTCGCGGCCCCGGGGCGGAGGAGGGCCAGCGGTGGATGGAGGCGCTGGTCAGAGGTGGCGCCTGGCCATGTGAGCAGTACTCGCCGTCTGGAGGCGCCACCGGCGCAGACGTCGTCTCGGACGCCATGCGCGCCCACAGCATCACCGTCGACTTCCTCACGCTCTCCCCGCTCTTCTCGGCCGGCGGGCTAGGCGAGTCGGACGACGCGGTGATCCTCCTCGCCCCCGCGCAGGGTGCCATGGCGAATGGCGACACGGCGGGGCAGGCGGAGCCGGCAAGCGCGACAAGGCGCCCGCTCCGCCCCGACCTCTGAGATATTCTGAGCCGCCAGTCCGAGAGCATCCCTCTCTCAGCGCCCGTTCCTTGGTCTGTGCGGTAGGCGAACGACTCTCCTCGCCCGCTCCGCCGGCGCGCTCAAGCCAGGAGTGCGCTACATGACCGAGGCAGGCGCGGATTCACGCTCGCGGGTTCACCCGGCCCCCGCCCGCCCGTCCTAGCCCTCCCCTTCCCACCGTGCGCCGCGGCTGCCGCTCGCGAGGCTGCCCGAGCCGCTCGGCCTCCCCGCACCCTCCCCGGACCGTGCGAGTCGGCTGCGTCATCCACCGCGCCCTGTCCACACCTGCCGAAGCCCTGCAGGCAATTCCCTCCTCGTCTGCGCCGTGACGGGGGAGGCGGTGCTCGCCGGACAAATCTCGCTCGGGGCGGTGGGATCGTCCAGGCGCAGCGACGGCGCACAGAAGAGAGAGTCGGCAGCCGAGGCGGAGGCGGCGATGAAGGCGGCGATGAAGGCGGCCATGAAGGTTGCCGTCAAGCGAGCGAGGGCCACAGCGAACAAAGCCGCGTCTGCAGGCGCTAGCCGTGCCCCTGCCCGTGTCGCGCCCCTCCCGGACCCTCTTCCCTTCCCCCCCCCCACCCCCCCTCTCCCCTGCCCCGGCCCTCCTAAGTATACCCTACCCAACTCCCCGCCCCTCCCCCCTGCCCGCCCGCCTCGAGCGCAGGCATCGAGGTGCCGTCGAGCAGCGGCCTCCTCGGCCTACAGCTCGAGGTGGAGCTGCGCCAGCGGCAGCCGCCGGTCGCAAGCACTGCAGTGCCCCCCACCCGCCCGTCGGGAGGCATGGCCGGCTTCGCCCCTCTGGCCGCTCTTCTCGCCGCGTTGGGGGCCGTGCTCGCCGCGCTCTCATGCTCCGCCGATGGCGCCGCGACGGCGGCGCCGGGCCGCCTGCCGGACAGCGCCTCGGTCGATGTCGCGAGCGTCGAGCTCCTCCTCGACGGGCTGCACGGCGACGTGGACGCCATCGCTGCATTCGTTGCCAGCTCCGGCCTGACCTCCTCGCTCTCGCTCTCGCTTTTGGCTCTCGGGGCTGTCCTCGCTCTCGTTGCCGGTTTGAGCAGCCGGCAACTTTGGTGCGCGGAGTCCCCTTCGACTGCCCCCCACCCGCTCGTGGCAGACCGACTTGCACCCCCCCCCCCCCCCGGCTCTCCCCAGCCAACCCGCCACCGCTTCGCACGTCGCAGGGCACACTGCACGGCGGAGAAGCCCCTGCTCCCTCCAGAGGCATCCATCCCGCCCGCCGAGAAGGAGGCGCGTGTGGAACAGCACGAGCCGCGAGTCCGCGCCCCGCCCCTCACGCCCGCGCGGGAGCCAGCCCCCAGCTTGCCTGATGCGGACGCGGGAGCTGTGGCGGCGCAAGAGCCCGCAGAGGCCAGGGCAGAGGCTCTCCCCGAGGGCGCCACGTCCGCGGAGTCAGACCTCGTCCCTGCTGCTGCTGCTGCGAGTGCGGCGCCGGCGCCGGCGCCAGCGCCGGTGGTTGCGCCGCCCGCCACTCTCCTCGCGACAGGGGCCCAGGCGTTGAGGGGTGCCCTGGCACCGTCGGGCAAACTGCGAGACGTCGCGGCGCTGCTGAGCGCAATCGAGGCGTCGCTCGTCCCGCTGCTCAGTAGCTTCGGGCCGTCGATGGCTTTCGCCGCCCAAAACGACGCGCGCAACGTTCGGAAAGTGCGCGCGGCAGCCTCCGCAGCAGCGGCGGCCCCGGACACCGCTTCGCTGCAAGACGGAGTCGATCGCTTGCTCTCGCACGAGGTCGCCTCTGGCTGCCACAAGCCGGCCGAGAAGAGCGCGGTGCTGGCTGACCCCTCTGCCGCCATCGGGCTCACTTGGCTCTCGCGCTCCCTCCGCTTCATCTGCATGTGGATGGAAGGTGTTTGCGCCGGCGGCGCGCCCGTCGACGCCGCGGCAGCGACAAAGCGGTACAGGGAGGCGATGAGCGCCGCCTACGAGGCCTCTCTTGCGCCCTACCACGGCTGGCTCAACCGGAACATCTTCAACGGTTGCGCCAAGCACGCGCCGGGTTACGCATCGTTCATCGCCACGCTTGCGCCGACTGCCGAGGAGGCTACGCGCGAGGCGCTCGTTTTAATGGACATGGCTGATTTCGCTACCGCAGCCGCCCCGGTTGCCGATGCCGTGGAAGCGGCCTTCGCCCGCGCCAAGTTAGTGGACTCTCGCCGTGCCTAGACCCCGCCGGGCACCCGGGTGCCTAGGAGACCTCTCGAAAGGGAGAGAGCGCACGGCGGCGGCGCGACCAGAGACCACACTGCGAGCGAGCGGAGAGAGGGGGGGGGGGGGGGGAGATGGTGTGGCTGTCGGCATCGCATGCGTCGTCCCCTCTCCAAAAGTTGCAAGTTCCCCCCCCTCCTAAAGACTGAGGCTGCCGGACTGCCGTAATATGAGCATTGTGCATGCTAAATAAATAAAAACGGACACCTCTCTACTCGTACTGTGAGATGGGAAAAAAGGAACAGGTCCCCGCCCTTGCGATCTTTGTGCAGGGTTCTTTGTGGGTGTGGTCGGCGACTAGCCGGGGTCGTCCTCCCGATGCGCGATGGGGGACTAGCACTAGCTAGCCGTCTTCCACATGGTCCCTCGGGTCTGCAATGCTGATCATACTGTAGATCTAAATAATAAAAACGGACACCTCTACTAGGAGATGGAATAGGAGCAGGTTCAGCGTGAGCTCTGGGTCTAGACACAGAGCTGCCGCGTGCGGCGTGGCCCTAGGCCGGTGCCGGTGGTGCTGGTGGCTGGTGTGCGGTGGGCCGGTGGCGAAACTGCAAACTCTCTTTTTAAATACAGCCTGCAGCGTGCAGGGAGGCAGAGCTGCAGTGTGCAGAGAGGGCACTTGGGACTTGGCATGTGTGTGTGCGCGCCGCGGCGCGCGAATATGAATGCTTGCACCGAGTTGACGTTGGCGCCGTGCTCGAGCAGGAGAGCCGCCGGCGGCGCGAAGTGCAGTCGGTCCCAGCCGGCGCCGGTCCATCGCATGCCGCTGGCGCCGGGCCGTGCGATCAGTCGAGTGAAGGGTTGGCTAGCCTTGCCGCCGTTCAAGATGAAGCCCGCCATGTCGGCATCGGCTGCTGCACGTTGAAGGAACTGGGCGGCCGAGCCGACGACGGGCACGATCCGCTTGCTCTCCTTGTGCTGCAGCCACGGTAGCTCGCGCAGCATCCGCCAGCCGCCCTTGCAAAGGTAGCCAACGACGCCTCGCGAACCCTCGCCGACCAGCTCGAGCATGTTGTTGTAGGTCGGTTTGGTGTTCTTGCCGAACATCTGCGACAGCGCGGACCTGCCCGCGACCACGTGGACGACGCCCGCCGAGTCCACGAGCGTCCATGATGGCTCCAGCGCCATGATCGACGCGGATCTTCGAGGTGTTCAAGCGGCGCCGTTAGATCTTCGAGGTGTTCACAGCACGCTCTCTCTCTCTCTCTCTCTCTCTCTGTCTTGCGGTGGAATTACTTTCCTCATCAGCGAACCTCCGCCCAGCAAAAACTCAGGACCCGCTGACGGTGACAATCGTTGGCTCTAGTAACGGGGTGTCTAGCTAGATCTAGTACTCGAGTGGCTCAAACGTCAAAGCTGCTCAAACATCTCGCGCGGATCGCGCGCGTGGGGGGTGGGGCTGGGGGGCCGGGGGCGCGGGGCGGCGCCGGGGCGCCGGGGCCGTGGAACGTGTGTACAGCTCTCGTCCTCGTGCCGCATGCCCCCGGTCCTGCGGTCCATCCCCTAGCGGCAGAATGGACTTTAGTTCTGCAGCGGCGGGGCCAATGTGCATTTCCCATGGACAAGGCTCTTGCTGGCCCCATTTAGGCCCCAGAAGTTAAGGGGGCCATTCGCCCCGCCCCCCTTGCCGGGGGAGCCTCCGGGGG